AAAAAGAAATACTGGTATTTTTGAAGCCTACTCCATATGTATATAAGTGAATGTAGTTTTGATACTTTTTATCGATATACAATTAAAATGCACAGAAAATTAGAAACTTTGGTTACTATGAAGCAGTTATTTATCAAAGTAAAGATTTGAATTAGTAAACCGTGTTGTCTTATGACTTATTCAAATTGCATTTAAGAGAAAGAAAGATAAAAAGCAGGTGTTAACAGTATCCATCTTAAATTGACCTGAGGCTCACAACTCTTTATATTATTGCTCTACTTGAATGAATCATATTTTCGAAAATGTCCGGAGAAAGTAGGCTTCGAGACTGTAACCTTTACACGAAAATAATTACCGCTGATTAAAAACTACTTTACATTATGTGGTTAATACTAATTTATTATTAGTATTTGTTTATATTCGTATTAGAGTAGGGTTTCGAGACCACCAGTAAATCAGTGTAATGAGATGTATTTGTTTGTCTCTAGCGCTATTGCAACTTTGGCATTTCTTTATGTGTCGCTTAAAAAAGAGATTTAAATGTATTACTATTGGCTACTCAGCCAAACATCTTTATGAAGATAATTTAATTTCCCCTCTCACCTAAAACCATTTTGGCAGGCGTCTCTGGAGGCAGCCAGAAGAGGACGAGGGTAAGTGAGGAGAGAAGAAAGCATGGCAGGATAAGGATATAGTTGTAGAAGGCCGGTTCACGGGCGAGCCAGAGATAAAATGAAATGTCCGGATATGGTTCAGGGCAGCATGGATAGCGAAATTCTTTGAAAACAGCCATTGATCGAAGAATCAACCACTCAGGACTACTCACATAATTTGAAAGACGTAGGTCTTGGATACCCCCATAAAACGTAATGTTTACATAAAAGCTAAAAAAAAATATGCGAAAATGCGGACATTTTTAATTTAAAGAGGGAAACTACCCCTGCCGATAAAAAACTGGGGTTTGGGTTGCTTTACTACAAAGATGCTTCTATTTGGATGTAAATATCCCATTTTTTCTTTAATTTCTGTCTGAAATTTGATGTAATTTGTGCCTTGAAAAACTCCAATCTGCTATAGGCTCTAATCACTAATTAAAGTTTGCTGTATTATTTTGTGGTTAGCATGAAAATCAGTCGAGGATTTGTTACAA